AGGTTCACATATTTCTGGTCTGTAGGCTTGCTTCTGCTAATATAACTCTACTGATTAAGATAAAGCTTTTACCTGACATATAGTGATGTTGTGCCTGGTTTGTTCTTTTTTGTTTTTTACTCTGCCAAATTGTCCTTGCTTAAGTTAGCTATAAAGGTCATCTGAAAAAATGGCAACCAAGCCTCTATCAAGCCTATTTAATCTTTTTCTTATATTTTACTTCACTTAGAGTAAACAGATACCAAAAGTACAAGGCTTCTACTCTTGTGCATAAGGAGGACTTTGTATAGATGAACCCTATCATGCTGAAGATTTTCTCCTCCACGTGCCTCCTAATCATTCAAAAATACTATATACTTTTGAGCTCAGTCACAGTGATTCCAGTTAAAAAGGTAAAGGTTCCCCTTGCACATATGTGCTAGTCATTCCCGACTCTAGGGGGCAGTGCTCATCTCCGTTTCAAAGCTGAAGAGCCAGCGTTGTCTGAAGAAGTTTTTGTGGTCATGTGACTGGCATGACTAAATGCCAAAGGCGCATGGAATGGTGTTACCTTCCCTCCAAAGGTAGTTCCTATTTTTCTACTTGCATTTTTCCATGCTTTCGAACTGCTAGGCTGGTGGGACCTGGGACAAGTAACAGGAGCTAACTCCATTATGTGGCATTAGGGATTCGAACTGCTGAACTTCCGACCTTTCTGATTAAAAAGTTCAGCGTCTTAACCACTGAGCCACTGCGTCCCTTTTTCCAGTTGCAAAAACCCTAATATTCTACATTGATAAACTGTTTCCCGCTCTCTCCTGTTGGAACACAATTCAGTTTTAATATGTTTAGGATTTAATGCTGCAATGCTTAAGTCACTAGGTAGATTGTACCATTGCATTCAAAATATTCTCAGAATTATATTCCCTGTGTGTTTTATACAAACACACAACTCTTAGTAACCACTGACAAATGCTGGACACATCTTTATATTATCATTTAGATGGTTTTATCTAGGTGAGCCTGTGCTTATACTTGCACTTTTATTTGAACATTAATCTTGCTGAACATACTGTAGCAAGGCTTTAATAAAAAGACACAAATTGACCTTGTGTGACTCTTACATATGTGCACTCCTACTGGTAACTTAAATTAACAATTTCAATCACAAATCTTCTTCTCTCATGCAGTATAAGTCTAATGTTGGTTACCTGCAAATACAAAACCAGCATATCAAAGAAAAACATTTTGTCCTTTTAATTGTTAGATAGTTACCATTTACTGATTTGGCTTATAGAACTAAGACAGTTGTAGTCCTGATATTTTAATTTGATTTTCTTGAATTATAGGGAGGGGGGAACCTGTCTTACCCTCAAACTTAAGCAAGCAGCATCTCAGTCTGATTATAAAATATACCACAGATGTATTATGGGGCAGAAAGATTATTTTTATTATACTAATTTGTTTGACCCCCTCTAAATAAGAGGTAGTGAACTAATCTAAATCCTTTTGGTTAATAAGCCTTAGAAAGGATCAGCCTTCTTCATAGGGATGTGGCCTTCCAAATGGTTTTGAACTTCAGCTCCCAAAGTCCCTCACTAGTGACCATGCTGCCAGCATCAACAGCCAAGTATGGTTCAACATCTGAAGTCCCCCAGTTCTTCTCCTTACAGTAAAGAAAGCCTCATCTTGTGCATTCCATAAACAGTTTGTTATTTCTATGCAGTGATTAGACTGATCATTTCCCTGTGTTGAATTTCCCCATATTTATCTTTGAAGGACAAATATTGTGAAATCAAATTATATCTTTTAAATAGGGAACAAATAAGTTTCTTGGAGAAATGCAGACTGGCAGACTTCACATGTATTTTATGCACACAAATCCTAAAGAAAATAAACGCCATCAATTCTAATAAAATTGTCATTTGCGTAATTGCTTACCCAAGGGTAAAATTTAATATATTGCAGCATTTTATATCTTCTGATGGGCTTATTTGATCTTCATTTCTTTTTAAAAACAAAAACTGTATAACATTGTATATACAGTCTCTGCATTATTAGGCTTGAGTTTGTCTCCCTGTCACCATCCACCTGTACTTCACTTCTGCAGCTTTCTCCTTTGCAAAACAAGGTCACTCAGGACCCAGAAGCTTCAGGCACTTCCCTATTCATCCTTTGTAGTCCAGTAGTCCTGTATGGGTGGGGCCCAAATTATTTACTTTTTACTCTTTATTTGAGGCCAAGTTGGGGGAGGCGAACATAATGTAAAGAAGCAAAATACACGAGAAGCCAAAAAACCTTGCAAAGGCTTAAGATAGCCTTTTTTTCCTGGTAAGCATCAATGTTTGTTTGTTTGTTTGTTTTTGGAGAAATTAAGCTTTCTCCAAAAAAAACAGAAAAATGAAAACAAAAGATGTTTTCATTAGTCATGATCCCAGAATTCTTCAGAATTGCAGAAAATGTTTGTTTTCCTTTATTCCATTCAGGCATACAATTGTTTCTAATGTTCTAATCTAGATTGCTTGGCCAATTATTGTTCGGTTTTCTTATTCACAAATTCTATCCAACAGTTCTTGAAATTTTTCCCTTTTGGCTTCTGCCTTTTATTTTCCACTAAAATTGCCTCGCTCAAATAATGAACTTTTTCTCTCCTGCCAAAATTGTTAATTATAGAGTCTTCATTTTTCTCCATTTTTGTGCCTCTCTTTAATAATCATTGTTATCTGCTTTAATCCATTTTCATGTTTCAATCTTCCTAACTATCTTTAACTTCTCTTGTTTACAGTTCTTTCCAAATGTATCAAGACTATAACTTCCAAGTTTCAGCCATAAAAATCAAGATCCATGCTGGCTGAAGGCATTAGGCTAGGGAAAGCTGTCTAAAGAAACCCTTTTCTTTATATTTTCTTCTGTGTTCAAATCCCTCTAAAGTTCTATTCTTGACTATTTTCTCCCTTTACCCATTGTAGAGAAAGGACAGTATCAACAAAGCTGTTCAAATGTTCAACTATGACTTGTACCGGTTCCAGCCAATATAGCTAAGGGTGTGGAAATGTGTAGTCCATCAACACTCAAGAGAGGATTTGTTGTCCATTATTCTTTTAGAGCAAAGACATTGAATTAGGCCTATCTAGTTAAAATTTGCTTCACTCATCTAATCTCACATTTGCAACTGCCTTTCTGATATTTGCATTCAGATGCTTTATTGTGATTCAAACTTTGTATATCCAAGAATTTATCATCATTTCTCTCCCAAATTCACCATTAAGAAAGTTTCTTGGTGGATACTTTTATACATATCCATTAATGATTTTGTGTGTGTGTGTGTGTGTGTAAAGTCCATAGAATATATTTGGCTAAATTAAGACAATAATGTTCGGTATTTTAAATTTAATTTTCAGTTGCATCATTGGGTTTTTATTCTAACGTCTTTCCCTTTTTTCTTTTTTTTTCTTTTTTCTTTTTTTGGAATATGATCATTAATTTTCTCTTCTGGTTCATTGGAAGAAAAGTATGTAACATCTTTGAAATCCTGGCAAGACATAGATACTAAACTGGGATCTTTACATTCTGTTTTGAAAACTGCTAGGCATATTTGGATATTAATAAAGTCTTATGGTTTCATCCCAGGTCATATAGTGGAGGGGGCATGAATATTTTTAAATCAGTTGATCTAAACCACTTCTTTTAAAAATTTTGAGAGACTGAGTTTACTATACAAGTTAGAATCAAACAGTTTATCCTAGAAACTTTAGCAGTCTTTGAGATACGTGAAATTTTGACTTCCTTAAAAGATGCAGCATTTGAATAGAAACTAACAATTCAATTTTATACAGTATTAAAAAGTAAATTGAAAGTCACTATTACTTATATATTTCGTTACTTGAATTAAGAATTAGAATATTATAGAATCAATAGAACTAGTTGTTAAAAATGTGAAAAATACTTATGATGTAAAAATAAATTTATTTCATCAGACATAGGAAATTATTTCCTATTTATTGGACCCCTTCAAATAATGTTTAAAAAGGAGTGAACATTAGATTTGAAGAGCCGAGGTGGCGCAGTGGTTAGGGTGCAGTACTGCAGGCCACTTCAGCTGACTGTTATCTGCAGTTCAGCGGTTCTAATCTCATCGGCTCAAGGTTGCCTCAGCCTTCCATCCTTCCGAGGTGGGTGAAATGAGGACCCAGACTGTGGGGGCGATATGCTGACTCTGTAAACCGCTTAGAGAGGGCTGAAAGCCCTATGAAACGGTATATAAGTCTAACTGCTATTGCTATTGCTATTATCTTGGTACTGTAGGAAATATTATTTAACTCATATAACTCAGTCTGTTGTATTACAGCTTAAAGATCTCAATGTGATAATAAATTATAGCCCTAAAATATGAAATTCCTCATTTCCTTGAAGAACTTTGGTTCTACCAATCCCGGGATGTGGTAAAGTGGATAATTCTACATAACTGGAAAAAATTACTCTCTTGATTTTAATGTGAATATGAGTTTAATATCTGTTTTTGAAAGTCTATGTTCTAAAACTGAGAAAATTACACAATATTGTCTATATGATCTTAGTTTAATGACACAATTGGGTTAATTGAGCTTTTTTCTGTTAATTGTTCTCTTTTTTAAAACTTTATTTTAAGCATTATATTCACCATATAGACACTCTTTTTTGTTGATGGCAATACATTTTTGTACTTTATTTAAAATAGATGTTAAAACCCCCCAAAAAATATAACTAGGCAATTTGGCCTACTTTCCTCTTCTTTGTATTTCTAAGTTATAAATCTTTTGGGGCATGGATTTACCTTTCCATCACTGTTTGCAGACAGCATAATTAGCACTTTTCATATAGGTGTTCATTTAGATTGATATTAGAGACCAATCACTAAATCTTATGCAAACATAACTCTACCATTGTTTTATTGAGTTGGGGATAATTATCAATCTGCTAGAGATAGGACATTAATCTGAACTACTTCTTAAAATATTTCATTGTAAAATATTTCCAATTAGGTGCGAGCAATGCAGCGCCCTCCACTTGGAGTGAAATTGGTGATAGAAGCTGTTTGTATTATGAAGGGAGTCAAGCCCAAAAAAATAGCAGGCGAGAAGCCAGGTACTAAGATAGATGACTACTGGGAGCCTGGCAAAGGTCTTCTTCAGGACCCAGGGAAGTTTCTTGAAAGTTTATTTAAATACGATAAGGTAAGTACTTGAAAGGTGTTTATTCTTACTCACCCACAGACACATGCACATTTGTTTCCAAGGTCTCTTACCTTTCAGGGACCAACAGTATTTTTTCTGTCTCGGTTGCTAAACTTGCTCCTGATCTGCAAGAAACATCAGGTGAAGCCTTTTATGGCAATCGGTACTAATCCATGCTACCTCCTGATAGCTGTAGGTGGAGCTGTTGTTATAAGCAGAAGAGCAGAATTATGTTTAAAACACACACACAAATAGTTTGGTAACTTTAAGCATCTGGGTAACCGTGGAATTTAAAATGGTCAATTTGTATGTATGTATGTTACTTAATTTTTTAATCCTGTGTCTTTTACATATGGATGCCTATTGTTATTTATCCCAAATAAAAATGCCAGCAAAATCTGTGGGAATCAATAACTTAATACAATACAATACAATAGCAGAGTTGGAAGGGACCTTGGAGGTCTTCTAGTCCAACCCCCTGCCTAGGCAGGAAACCCTACATAATTTCAGACAGATGGCTATCCAACATCTTCCTAAAGACTTCCAGTGTTGGGACTTTCACAACTTCTGGAGGCAAGCTGTTCCACTGATTAATTATTCTAACTGTCAGGAAATTTCTCCTCAGTTCTAAGTTGCTTCTTTCCTTGATTAGTTTCCACCCATTGCTTTTTGTCCTGCCCTCAGGTGCTTTGGAGAACAGTTTGACTCACTCTTCTTTGTGGCAACCCCTGAGATATGGGAACACTGCTATCATGTCTCCCCTAGTCCTTCTTTTCATTAAACTAGACATACCCAGTTCCTGCAACCATTCTTCATATGTTTTAGTCTCCAGTCCTCTAATCATCTTTGTTGCTCTTCTCTGCACTCTTTCTAGAGTCTCCACATCTTTTTTTCACATCGTGGCGACCCAAACTGAATTTACACTGCTTGCACAACTTACACTGCTAAACTAAAAATAAAATGGGGGGGGGGGAGGTAAGGATTGCAAGCCCTTTTGCCCCCAATTTAGATTGGAATTCAAGTTGAAATGCCTCTCTTCCAGGACACAAACCTCTACCTGATACTTTTGCAGAGATGCAGAAATCTCACTGCATTATTTTCTCATGGTCATATGCTATCTTGAAATGACATATAGTATAGTTCATCCAACTCTAGAAATTAAATTATATTTTCTTGTTTATGCTTAACAAATGTAGTTTTGTAAGTATGGCTTATGATTCAGTGTGTTTAAAATTAGACAATTGGAACAGCCTGTAGCCTGGAATCATGGGTGCTCCAGTTTTTTCAGACTGTTGGGCAACCATTTGTTTGGGACAGTCTTAGGATTCCTGTTCTGGTTTAGAGAGTTGGGCTAGAAGACCTCCAAGGTCTCTTCCCCATTACTGTGATTTTATTACATAATCCATGATTGTAACTTTGTGATTATGTCTTAGGAACTATTACCTTAGCTTGGCTTCAAGTGGAAAAGAATAATACAACAAACTGTTCCTCTGATACAGCTAATGTATTTTTTATCATAAAACCTTGCACTGTTTCTCCTGAGCATTCATATCTTCCTTCTACCAGCATTCATAAGCATTTTTTAAAAAAAAAAATCATTTCAGGATAATATTGCGGATACTGTGATCAAGTTCATCCAACCATATATTGACAGTGAAGAATTTCAGCCGGCAGTTGTAGCTAAAGTCTCCAAAGCCTGCACGTCAATCTGCCAGTGGGTCAGGGCTATGCATAAGTACCACTTCGTGGCAAAAGCTGTGGAGCCAAAGCGCGTAAGAATTATTGCTGTGCTTTTTTCAAAATCATGTACTAGATACCTATGCCCTCTTTCTATGCTTTATGATCTTTTTAAAAAGTGTTTGAGAAGCACTTGGTGTTCACAATTATTTCTATTTCCATAGCAAGCCCTGAGGGAAGCTGAAGAAGATTTGCAAGCCACACAGAAAGTCCTGGATGAAGCCAAGGAACATCTCCGAGAAGTGGAGGATGGCATTGCCAATCTTCAGGCTAAGTACAAAGGCACTTTATCCACAAAAGAGGAACTGGAGATGAAGTGTGATCAATGTGAACAGAGATTGAACCGAGCTGACAAAGTAAGCATAAATCAAGTAATAAAATAAACTCAACAAATTAAGTCAAATAAATTTTTAGCTTCCAGTTTAAGTGCAAAGATGACTAAAAGATTGCGCTGCGGAAACCCAAGCTTGATTTTTATAGCTAAGTTCAACTATAATTGATCTCCCAAGCGGAGCTGATTTTTAAACAGGCCATCTATGCAGGATTGAAATGGTGGCACTTTTTTTTAAAAAAAGATCTCCAGATAAATGCAATGATAAATTTACTCATTTGGACTATTTGGGCACTGGGATAATCCTTCTTATCACAAGCAACTATAAAAACAAAGGAGCAGATACCAGTAGACTGTATGTATGTATGTATGTATGTATGTATGTATGTATGTATGTATGTATGTATGTATGTATATAAATTTAAATAAATAATTGGGAAATGTTCTGAACCACTGGGAGTATGATAGTTGGCATACTGGCAAACTGATTCCACAATCTTGAATTGTGATTTAGTTGAGATGGCTTAGAATCCAGCCAGCATGTACATAAGGCAGGGCAGCTTAATGGTGCCATGCAGAAGGACCCAATAGTGAACACTAGGACACTAGGATTTTCTATCCCTTTTTTACTGTTTTAAATAGCATGATTGTCTTCCTACAAATTCTCTTTCCTTAAAACTGTTACATTGGGAAAAGTAATAAAATTGTCTCTTTCCACCAAAATATATGTTGGCCAGGAAAGGTTTTCTACTTCCAATTTACAGTTATTTTATTAGTTTAATCATGTGTGAGATTCAAGCCTAATGTTTCATGTTAAATGTATTTTTTTTAAAAAAGTTCATGTGTTGCCTTCTTGCATTTCCTATTAGAGTTTTCTGCTAGGAGAAGATCTAAGGAAGAAGCAAACTAACATATTGTATATCTGTTGTGTTTAGCTAATTAATGGTCTGGCTGATGAAAGAATACGTTGGCAGGAAACAGTCCAGAAACTAGATTATATGATCAACAACATTGTAGGCGATGTTTTAGTTTCCTCTGGCTTCATTGCATATTTAGGACCATTTACGGTGAGTAAGAAAAATGTCTTCTTTTCCACAATATTTGAGCTTGATATTGAATAAAGGCTGCTCCTACAGCTGTATACCAGGTCAATATATTTGCTGTCTAAACATTTCAAGAGAATTATACTGTAGACACTTGGACACATATGAGTCTTTTCTTACACAGACGCCCAGGAAGCAAGCCTTTCCACCCAAAATGGCTTCCTACTCTTATACTGAGATAGGCGTCAAATAAATTTAGCAAACAAACAAACAAAGAAATAATCAGCTCCACTAAAAGCAAAATATTTCCTCCTTACCTTTCTCCTTCAATTGCACTATTTTCAGAACTACGTGGATATACAAAATTGTTGTTGTTACCCAAGTAATTTTCATAGATTAATAACTTTTTTTATTGAAAAGCGGGGATCCATTGTTTGCTCTTATCCACGTCAGGCCTATATTGTTGTTAGATCCAGGCTTGTTGTTAAATTGATCTAAATTAGAATTAACTACAGTTGGTAGTACTAAGAGGGAGTGCACACACAGTTCAAACTGTGTTTTTTAATCATGCTTTGGAAATTGATGAGCTCTAAATGCAGAGTTGAGCTTATGTTTATAAGAAAATCTGAATGCAAAAGGGAGTATGTGAAAGCATAATCTATAGCATTTGAACGGAATCTTCTTATGAAGCTTCTTAAAATAGTCATTCCCTACTGAAATTATTATATGTTCTAAAACAGATATGCATATTGACATCAAACCTCAACTTCAACATCAAGAGTTGGTTACAAGTAGCTGGGGAAAAAATAATTTAATTAAGCATATTGATAATTTCATGTTAATAGTTCAATATTTTTCCTTTGTAGGGTCAATATCGCATATCGCTTTGTGACGAATGGATAAGCCGGCTGGAGTTACATAAGGTTCCACACACAAAAGAACCAAATTTCATAGCTACACTTGGAGACCCAGTGAAAATCCGATCATGGCAGGTAATCTTAATATGAATACCAGCTAGTTTTGCCAAATAGCAAAGCTTTGAATTGCTATGCATTTTTTAAGGCATGTGAATCAGTGGTGGGATTCATTTTTTTTTACTACCGGTTCTGTGGGTGTGGATTGATGGGCATTGCATGGCTTGGTGGGCATGGTGTAGTTTGGTGGGCGTGGCAGGGGAAGGATACTGCAAAATCTTTATTCTCTCCCCAATTTAGGGGAAGGTTATGGCAAAATCCCCATTCCCTCCTGATCAGCTGGGACTCAGGAGACAGAGAATAGATGTGGCGGGGTCAGTCAGAGGTGGTATTTACCGGTTCTCCAAACTACTCAAAATTTCAGTTACTGGTTCTCCAGAACTGGTCATAACCTGATGAATACTACCTCTGATGTGAATCCTAGAGAGTGATCATACAAAAGAACAATTCAGGGATATTTTAAGAAGTTTTGGGAATGTTATACTTTCTACTTAATTGAAAATATTGAAGAAATTACACTGAGAAGCAGTATTTATGTTGATGCCCTCAGTTATTTGGTATTGTGATTTCCATACCTTCTAGAATTGATGAATCCTTATGTACAAAAAATGTCCAATATGGTTTGCTTGGACTTGATCAAGAATAAATCAAAACAAGGAAATAAATTATATTTGGACCATCATAAACCTAAATTATTCATTTTATTGAAAAGATTTTAAGATTACCGTAGTTAAGAGATCAGTCTCTCTGTAATATGGACCATTGCAGTATTTCTGGAAAATATGGATGCCTTTTCCTTTGATATACTGTATACTCAAAGCTCTACTGACTCCTGTCATTCAAGTGGACCATCCAGAGAGTATCTTAACTGAACCTTAACTGAAGATATTCAGTTGTTCAGTTTGAAACAACCTGTCCCACTCTATAAATAAAAGCTGTGCAGGGATATCTTTAGTTATTCTGTTGTCAATAAAAACTTTACAGTGAATCAAAGGATAACATTACAGTATGGTGTAAAATTCTACACATATTTTTGATTTCTATGCCATTATCAGTTTAACTTACTTTTGAATAAACAACTGATACTGCTCTGAAATTATTCATTTCAGAGTATTTCCTGTAGGCAGAACTTTAAGCTGTTATACAGTATGTTTGCATTTTGATTTCTATGCCATTAGCATGTAATTTACATAATGTGTGTACTTTACCAGATTTAGCTTATCTTGATGCATAGCAAACATGTGTTTTATGTTCTTCATATGCAGATTGCAGGTTTACCTAATGATACTTTATCTGTGGAAAATGGTATGATTACACAGTTTTCTCAACGCTGGACTCTATTTATAGATCCACAGGGACAAGCCAACAAATGGATAAAAAACTTGGTAAACCTTCCCTGTTGATATTATTAAACACATTTATTTGTACCAAAGGAGTTTTTCTAGCTGGCATTAAAGGCTTCTTCCTATAAACACTTGTTATTTTTTCCTCTTAAAATGTTTAATTTATAAATGACAAATCCTACACTAGAAAATTATATTCAGTTATAATTGAACTACTGATTATTTATACCATATTTTTATTTAACTTTTATCTTCATTTTTATAGTTTTCTTTTTGACTTCCCTAGGTGGAAAAACATGTTCTAGAATTTCTAAGGTAGAAAATCAATTTCACCTATGTTCAAAGATCATGGTGATGAGAAGCAGTAATATGCAGAGTGACTGTAATTACTTTATTTTCTATAATTTATCAATTAGTGTACACCTTGCTGAAACCAGTCTTCAGAACTTTGCAATAGCATGGTCCCTTATTTCATTCACTATACTTTTGTGTTATGTTCCATGCAATATCAAAATTTACGTCAATACATTGATCCTTTCTCTCCACCTACAAACCCATTTTGATCCATGTCTTGTCTTTGTTCCTTTCCACTTGCATATAAATCAGTCATCCGATTCCACCTCTACTGAGTTTCTTTGTACTCTGCTGTTTTTCAGGAAAAAGATAGTGGGCTAGATACATGCAAGCTCAGTGACCGGGATTTTCTACGTAGCTTAGAGAATGCCATTCGTTTTGGGAAGCCATTTCTCTTGGAGAACGTAGGGGAAGAACTAGATCCAGCTCTTGAACCTGTGCTGTTGAAACAGGTGACTCCCCCCCCCCCGTGTGTGTGTGTTTATAAGGTTATCAAGAATTGGCTGTTTCTCAGCAGCCACCATTGGATAAGCACGTCTAAAGTAGTGCTGAAATTAGTATAAAACTATATTCCAGTCCACCCTCACATCTTTAAGGCCAGTTTGCTGGTGTGTGTGTGTGTGTGTGTGTGTGTGTGAGAGAGAGAGAGAGAGAGAGAGAGAGAGAGAGAGAATCAAAACTAGAATGTTGCATATTGCAGCTGAGTTTTGTGCAGAAGGGAATTCCTTATTTTTTTCACTATCTGATATTTTTCTTCATAACAATCCTCTACCACTTGCCATCCCCCATCATTCATAACATGGAGGAAAGGAAGATGCCACTAATTTATGCTAATATTGTTATTGTACCAAGTAGTTTACAATGAGATAATGGAGTAAAATACGAGATTCATGCTGAGGTGCACAAATTATCAGTAATCTGCCTCTTATCAGAATAGCTGGGAACCAGGCATTCACTTTTGACCATGAATCTCCACCCCAACCACATAGATTGATTCATCCCAAATGATATTTTCCTCTAAATGGGATGGACAAATCTCACGGTTAAAATCAAGATTTTTAATATCCTAATTTTTATCATTAAAAAAATAAAGATAAAAGCAAGCATGGAAAATATAGAAAATAAAATTAAGAAAAATATGAAAGAATAAATGCAGATTAAATTTATTTGCAGCAGTTACAAACACATGTATTGTCATTCCTCCCCCATTAAGAGAGAAAATCATGATATTAAAATTGTATTATTGCTCCTGCATCACCACCTCTCTTTTTCATGTTTCCCTGAAATGTTTTCATGTTTCCCTGTTTATATAGACTTATAAACTGCAGGGCAGCATAGTATTGAAGCTGGGAGACACAGTGATTCCATATCATGATGATTTCAACTTGTACATCACTACCAACCTTCCTAATCCCCATTACACTCCAGAGTTATCAACAAAGCTTACCCTGATTAACTTCACCCTATCTCCCAGGTAATGGCAAATTACTCTCTCCTATATTAAATATCGAATCAAACTGTTGCCGTCATTAATGGATAACTATTTTTTTAAAATTTTCATTGTATTCTTTGACTGCTCTGCTTACTTGCTTGCTTACTTAATTACAGTGGCTTAGAGGACCAGTTGCTAGGCCAGGTGGTAGCTGAAGAACGGCCTGACTTAGAAGAAGCTAAGAACCAGCTGATTGTCAGCAATGCCAAGATGCAACAGGAACTGAAGGAAATTGAAGACCAAATTCTGTACCGTCTGAGCTCTTCCGAGGGGAACCCTGTGGATGACCTGGAGCTCATCAAAGTTTTGGAAGCATCCAAATTAAAAGCAGGAGAAATTCAGGTGCTTATTTAGGCTCCCCTCTCAAATCACTTGTTTCTTTTGACTTAAGATATATTTGCATTTCCGTTTGTCTTTCAATCTCCCACAGGCCAAAGTAAAGGCAGCTGAGCAGACTGAGAAAGATATTGATATCACTCGGCTGGAGTATGTCCCTGTGGCTGTCCGCACCCAGATCCTTTTCTTCTGTGTCTCAGACCTGTCCAATGTTGATCCCATGTACCAATATTCGTTGGAGTGGTTCCTCAATATATTTCTAACAGGAATTGCAAACTCGGAGAGAGCAGGTATTTTAAATGACTTACTTGTATATAATATCTATCCTTTCCCACCCAGAACAGTGTAGGTCTCTTCATGGTCTGAATGGCAATTTATGCATTACATAAGGGACTGAATATTCATATACAATACATTCAGAAAGTATTCACCCCTCCCCCTGCATTTTGACAATTTTGTTATGCTGCAGCCTGATTCTACAGTTGCTGAAATTCTTTCTTCTTCTTCTCAATAATCTATACTCAGTACCCCACAATGGCAAAGCAAAAACAGTATTTTATAAATGTCTGTACATTTATTAAAAATAAAAAACTGAAATATCACATTAGCATAAGTATTCAAACTCTTGGCAACGAAGACGTGAAATGTAGCTCTGATGCTTCCCTTTTGATCATTGTTGGCATGTTTCTACACCTTGTTTAGCATCCACCTGTGGTAAATTAAATTGATTGGATATGATTTGGAATGGCAACACTTCTCTATAGAAGACCTCACAGTTGACAATGGATACTGTAGCAGAGTAAAAGCAGTGAGGTCAAAGGAACTGCCTGCAGAGCTCAGAGACGGGATTATTAGAATGCACAGATCTGGAGAAGGTTACTATAAAATTTCTGCTGTGCTAAAGCTTCCCAAGAGCATAGTGGCCTCTATAATTCTCAAATGGAAGACGTTTGGCATAACCAGGACCCTTCCAAGAGCTGGTTGCCCAGTCAAACTGAGTAATCAGAGGAGAAGGGCCTTAGTAAGAGAGATGACCAAGAACCCAAAGGTCACTCTGACTGAGCTCCAGAGATCCTGTGTGGAGATGAGACAGAGTTCCAGAAGGGCAACCATCACTGCAGCCCTCCATTGATCTGGGATTTATGGCTAGAGTGGCTAGATGAAATCCTCTACTCAGTGCAAATCACATGAAAGCCCACTTGAACTTTGCAAAAAAGCCCCTTGAAGGACTCTGTGAGGAATAAGATTCTCTGGTCTGATGAAACTAAGATTAAACTGTTTGGCCTCAATTCTAAATGTTACGTCTGGAGGAAAACAGACCCTGCCCAACACCATCTCAACAGTGAAGCATGGTGGTGGCAGCATCCTGCTATGGCATCCCCATAGGGACTGGGAGACTGGTCAGGGTTGAGAAAAAACTGGATGCAGCCAAATACAGGGATATCCTCAGCAAAAACCTGTTCCACAGAGCTCAGGACCTCAGCTCAGAAACTCAGGGCTGAAGGTTCACTTTCCAACATGACAACAAAGCACACAGCCAATGTTGTAGAGGGGCCCAGTCAGAGCCCTGACTTGAACCCTATTGTACATCTCTAGAGGGACCTGAAAATGGCTGTCCACCAATGGTTGCCATCCAGCCTGACTGAGCTTGAGAGGATTTGCAAGGAAGAATGACAGAAAATCCCCTAATCCAGATGTACAAAGCTTGTTATGTCATATGCAGAAAGACTAGAAGTTGTAATTGCTGCCACAGATACTTCAACAAAGTACTGAGTGAAGGGTCTGAATACTTATGCCAACGTGATGTTTCAGGGTTTTTTTTTCTTTTTAATACGTTTACAGACATTTCAAAAATTCTGTTTTCACTTTGTCACTGCGAGGTACTGAGTGTAGACTAATGAGAAAAAATTAATTTCATCAACTGTAGAATAGGCTGCAGCATAACAAAAGTCACAAAAGTGAATGTGTTCTGAATACTTTCTGAACGCGCTGTATGTCTGTTCGCTCTTCTGCCTCCATTGAAATATTACAAATATTAAGCTATCAGAAGCAATGATGGTAGCTGCATTCAGTCTGCAATATGTGTATTATGTATGTCGACATGGGTGTATCCGGTGTGTGTTCACATGCTATTTTTCCCCTCACTGTTCTAAAAACTACCCTTATGATTAAAATTCCAGATGAATGGATTATTTTAAAAAGTTTGGCATCTTCAGCAGTATGAGTTTTTCTCATAAAGAGTTTGTGCATGTCCATAAGGATGAGGCAAAACTTCAAAGAACACTGTTGCTTGCATGGACCATTTTTGGATAATAATCACCTCTAAGATTTTTTGCTTTAAGTCTGCATCATTTTCTGCATTCTTTTGTGAATTACTGCTTTCAGATACGCTGAAGAAGCGGATTGCAAATATCAATAAGTACCTCACCTTTAGCCTCTACAGCAATGTTTGTCGCAGCCTCTTTGAGAAACATAAGCTCATGTTTGCATTCCTGGTGTGCATCCGGATCATGATGAATGAAGGCAAAATAGACATGGTAAGAATAATGACATCTTCTGTTAAGGGCTTATAGATGGCTGTAAAATGCATCTGAACAAAAGAATGGGCAGTCTAACATGGTTAACACAGGGAAAACATCAGTTAATATAAATAGTAAATCAGATTATAAACTGGAACCTTCTGGAAGAATATTAGTGAGAAAATAAGAGAGATCTCCTTCACAAATGGCATTCTGAGCTTGAGCCCAGCTACCATGAACTAAGTCTTTAATCTAATTTCTGGCTACAATGGAAGGAATGTGTATATGCATTAATAACTGGTCAAGAAGTAATAGTTTCTACTAATCACACAGAGTATAATGTGCTCAGTGGTGGGATTCAAATAATGTAACAATCGGTTCTCTGCCCTAATGACCAGCTGGGTAGGCGGCCTTGGTGGTCACGTGTCTGGGTGCGCGTGGCCAACTCCAATGTCACTCACATCAATGGGCGCTTCGCCTTAGCTGTTACAATGTAATAAAGGTTAACGGGAGAGGCAGTTTCTGTAAGCAGGGCAATAAAGATTAGGCTAGAAACAACACCAGAATGTTTCCTTCCCTTACAGGATTAGCCCTGTAAAGTGCAAAAAAACCAAAATAAGATTTCTTCCAACAACTGGTTCTACAAACTGCTTAGAAAATTAACCTATTCTCTCGAATAGGTGCGAACTGGCTGAATCCCACCACTGAATGTGCTCTATAAAAAGTTTTATAAATGTTTAGATTTATAGGCTCAAAAAGAGAACATTTCCATATATTTATCCTACAGAGGTGAATGCAAAGACCAAAAATGAGTATAATAAATAATTGTCACTCACGACAAACCTTCACACACAGACAACCCTCTATATCTTTTTCTAATTTCAATGCACAGGAGGAATGGCGTTACCTTATTTCTGGCGGCACTATAAAGATCATGCGAGATAATCCAGCTCCGGCCTGGCTATATGAAAGAGCATGGAATGATATCCTGGCCTTAACCAACTTGCACAATTTCTCCTCATTTGCTGATGACTTTGTCGCAAACCTGTCTGGGTTTCGCACAATTTTTGACAGTGCTGAACCTCACAGGTAATTTTACTTTCAATCTTCAGATTTGCTACATTTCCCAGTAATGCTATCGTTTAACACTAGTTCAAACTAGGGCACCCTTTGAGTCAAGTGTGAGTTCTGTTAACTTCAAGAACATAGTTACGGGTTTTTCTGACAGTAGTATAAATGTGTTTTATTACCATGTCTCCCAGAGTAGAATTTCAATTTTCCAATCTAATCTACCAAGCAAGATTCCCTGACAGTCCCGTAATCAGGTCTGATCCTGCTAAACTTTCTGAGATCAGCCATACTGGGCCAGCACGTAGCTGTGTATGCGGTGGTTATTCTTAATTAAAATCCATTTACGATAGTAATTATGTTCAGAAAAGCACTTGAGAAATAACATGCAGTGGTCAACTGGATGTCTTTAGTCTAGACTTAACGTAAGCCTTTCTATTTTTTGCAGGGAGCCTCTGCCAGGCATATGGGACACCAAGCTGGATTCTTTTCAAAAACTGTTAGTCCTGCGCTGTCTGCGGGGGGACAAAGTCACCAATGCGATGCAGGACTTTGTGGCTGCTAACTTGGGACAGAGCTTTATTGAACCACAGGTAGCCAATCGTGCTTAATCACATACACAGAGGCTGAACAGCAGAGGTGACAGAAATTTTGGTTGACAAGACTTTGGCCTCCTGTTCTGGTCCCGTGTCTCTCTTTCCTTGCCCAGCCTTCCTCCTCCCAATAGATGAAAGCACAGGAAGAAGTTCTAAGCCCATGATGGTGAACCTATGGCACATGTGCCACAGGTGGCATGTGGAGCCATTTGTTAGGGCATGTGAGGCATTGCCTTGTCAGCTCCAGCGTGCACTGGCCAGCTGACTTTGGCCTTCGTTTTTGGCCATTTTTCACCCTCTGGAGGCTTCAGTGAAGTCTCCAGAGGGCCTCCAAGGAGGCGGAGGCATTTTCGCCCTCTCCAGGCTGCTAGAAAGCCTCTGGAGCCTGGGGAGGGCGAAAAATGGGTCCATCACGTGCCAAAAGCAGGGGGAGGGCGTGGGGCGCATGCGCAAGAGCAGGAGGGGGTGTCGCACACATAGAATTATGGGTGTGGGCACGCCCACACACAACCCCCTGCATTCCCCCCGCTTTTGGCACGCGATGGCCAAAAGGTTTGCCATCACTGTTCTAGGCAATAACAGTAAACAAAGAACTCTTTTTTATATATTTCAGACTGCAAACCTTTCAGTGGTCTTTAAGGAGTCTACTTCTACCACCCCGTTGATATTCGTCCTCTCTCCAGGCACAGACCCAGCTGCCGATCTGTATAAATTTGCTGAAGAAATGAAGTTTTCCAAGAAACTCTCAGCAATTTCTCTTGGACAGGGACAAGTAAGAGCTCGCACAGAAGCGCTTACCCTTTCAAGCAAACTTACAGGTCCAGACCGTGTTATGTTCATCCTCTGAAAGGCTGTATAAAATAAACTCTTGCCACAATCCTGTTTCTAACTGGCATATAAGCTCCAGGCAGGCTCAGAGGCCCCTGTGATTCTTCAGGTGTCAAAGAGACTCTGGGCCAAGTGATGTTTGAATCCATTTCTTTCCCCAGCATTCAAGAGCATTATGTACTGACTTTTTATAGGTAGTCCTTAACTTATGACCGCAGTTGAGCCCAACATTTCTGTTGTTAAGCGAATGTTGTCCTATTTCATGACCTTTCCTGACACAGTTAGAATATTCTAGAATAGAATAAAATAACAGAGTTGGAAGGGACCTTGGAGGGCTTCTAGTCCAACCTCTTGCTTAGGCAGGAAACCCTACACCAGTGGTCTCCAACCTTGGCAACTTTAAGACCTGTGGACTTCAACTCCCAGAGTTCCTCAGCCGGTTTTGCTGGAAGATGAGCTCTGGAAGTTAAAGTCCACACGTCTTAAAGTTGCCAAGGTTGGAGACTACTGCCCTACACCACTTTACACAAAGTTGTCAAGTGAACCATTGCAGGTGTTAAGTTGGTCACACAATTGTGCAATTGACTTTGCTTGTCGGAAGGTCTTAAAAGAGGATCACATGCCCCCAGGACACTGCAACCCTCACAAATATGCGTCAGTTGCCAAGTGTCTGA